TATAGTAGTAATTGGGCTAGCAAAATATGAAGCAGATAACAATCTGTAGCTAATTAAAGCAAACCTTATTTGTCACATTTAGGTTGGTGTCTGGCAGATCTATTGATGAATGCTGCTCCTTCTATTCCTTTACAAAAAATCAGTTTCATCATGCCCTTGACTTGGATAACTACAATTTGAGGTTCTTGGATATATAACTTGAGAACTTGAGGCAAGATCATTTACATTAAACTAGTGATGTTAGTAATTCCAAAAAAAAGGAAGCATTTGAATACTGCATTATGTACTTCAGAGAATTGAATCCATGCTTAGACCAAGCATAATTCAGAGAATTGAAGTTGTCAGTGTTGTCTTTTTGTTTGCTGATAATTGAAAACGATTTATCAGCTGATTTTATAGCTCATTTAATTTGTCAAAAATTTTGCTTGGGCGCAGCTGTTTATTTGAATTTAATGTTTTAGTTTATAGTGGTGTTAGAGGAATTCTATCTGGTGAGTTGGCCCTTAAAACCCATTGTTAGTGGTTTGTCTGTGGTGTTTGAGACAGTGCAAGGATAAGCTTCCTTTTGATCTGTTGATACCAGATGGTCCGAGTAATGCAATGAATGAAAAAATTCTATCGCCAGAAAGCAACTGACCTATCTTGTTTTGGTCTATGCAGGTGGATGATCCTGTTGCTTCAGTGCAAAAGCTTTTTACATCCCCACAGGCTAAACGAAGGAAGCTTGTTCGTCCAAGTTAATTCAGCAAAGTTATCCATGTGATGGAGTACACCCCATGGTTCACGAGGAAAAAAAATTTCACCATTAAGACTGGGTGATAAGATCACCTTCCCGGTGGAGACAGTTTCTGCATCTTATTGCCTATATTTTACGTGCATGTTAAAACCATGTGCTTTGAAGAATACTCTAAAGGATGAGCCTCTGTTCTAGGCTTGTTGTAGTGGTAATTAGCAAGACATTGTTTCATATGATATCTCCGACCAGAGAGGCTTTTTGTATTATTGACTAGTTATTTGGAAGAGGATTGTAATCTGCTTTTTTTAGATAGAGAAAGTAAACAAGGGGAAGACACCATTATTACCATTGCTGTAAGCTTTCTGAAGAGGTAAAAATTTCAGGAGGAATTTATTTTGTACATGATTTTTGTACACTTTTATTTGAGCAGTTCTTCCTCTCAACAGAAATGGAAGGACAAAAATCTCTCAACGGCATCTTTGATCATTCCATCAAGCCGCAATTTGTTATTTTCACCTTTGAGTAAGGTCTGTTGAAGCCTCTCTCTGCAACTACAGCTCTTTTATCTCCTATCAACTTGGCCGCCCTGTCGATAAAACCAGAAAATTGGTTGGTTATGTCTTGTATATACTATGATCTTCTTAATTGGTTAGTCTATTTTATATGTTCTTGTTTTGTCAAATATCATTAGTAGCCACCTGAACTAAGTGAATGGGAGATTGCCAGTACCTGAAATAAGGAGAACTTGTATTCTCTTTCACAGTTTTGACTTGGCCAAGTTTCTCAACAACATCCATCCCCTCCAAGACACTCCCAATAACTAAAGCAGATGTATCTAACTCAGGTGAGTCTTTAAGGGCAATTGTAAACTCTGTTCCATTCACATCTTTTCCTACTTCTTCTTGATCGATTTCGAGCTTCCCTCCTCGAGCAACCAGCTTCATCTTTGGAGGTGGTTTTGAAGGGTCTCTAACAATAAGGCTAACACTTGTTGCTACATTCTTGGTACCCTGACACATTTCACTCTGTTTCTCCCATTCATCTACGAGGTTATCGATTGCCATTGTTCTTCCAGTATTCTTGGCAAGTTCAGCATCCACACCATATGACCTCAATCCACCATGTTGTACATAATTTGGCATTATCCTCACAAAATCTTTTCTTCTATAGCTTACCCCTGCTGCTCCACTAACAAGATTACTGAACCTTGATGACCCAAACGGGGCACTATCACCATATAATCCGATAACAATCCTTCCTATAGGTTCCCCATCAACTGATACTTCAAGAAATGCTCTCTTTGTTACATTCTGATTTGAACAATATTCAATTTTTCTTGAAGGTTCTTGCTCTGGTTCTGTTTTATCGGGAGGAAGTTCATCTGCTCTTGCCCTTGATAGATTCAATGGCTCAATAGCTTGGGATCCTAATAGTAAAAGCAAGGATGAACTAGTACTGATGGCAAGTTCTCTACGCGAAAATTTGATACATTTGCTAATAGTTGTGGCTTGAATTTGTTTAGGAGGAAGAGGGGTTGCTGGAGGCTGAAGAAATTGAGCTGAAGACTGCATAATTTACTGATTTTAGTCCTCTCTAATTGTTTCTCAACATTTCAAATAGGTGGAAGAAGTCTGTTTTTCTAAAGTTTGATTCTGTGGATAGAAACAGCAGAAGCCAATCCCCTAATTTCTAATACTATCATGCTACTGGTTTATAAAGACTTGACTGGGCCATCCTTTTTCACTTGGCTCATTTGAGCATCATTCAACTTAGAATAATTATTTTTTAGGGAATTAACATGTGGCGCAGTGGTGGGATTGCTCCACCTTTAATCAGAGGTTTCGAGTTCGAGCCATGGGTATGAGAAAAATTTTGTTGGGAGCGCCACTCCCGAATGAGCCTTGCAGTATGCGATTTGGATTTCTTCAGAACTCTAATGCGGGCTCAAGACACTGGGTGGGAAACCAAAAACAACTACTGTATTATTTAAATAGCTGCCGAGAAAAAAACAAATGATCAAAAATACACCTAAGTAATCCGTGGGATATAATTTCATGAGCTAATTTTGTCACCTCTAATTGGTATAAACTAGAAAAAGTCATAAACATCTATCAAAACTTAGGTCAAAATGTTAGTTACAACATACCTTACTAGTGAACATGTCTGCTCTTTGCGTAAAATGATAGTTACATACCTTACTAGTTACTAGTGAACAAGTCTGCTCTTTGCATAAAATGTTAGTTATACATGTTACTAGTGAACATGTCTACGCATCACGTGATTGTATAAATATGACAAATTAAGTAAATAAAAAGAAAAAAACTTGTTGTGATTGTTAAAGAATGACAAAAGTCTCACATTGGTGATTAATGAGATGGGTGGACTCCTTAAAAGGCTTGGGCAATCCTCCTCCCTTCGAGCTAGCTTTTAAGGTGTGAGTTAGGCCTAAGACCTAATTTAACATGGTATCAAAGCAGGGCCCATCTCACCAATGTTGGGCCCCTAAAATCAAAATTGCCCACACACCAAATGCGAAGCACTGGTCGTGAGGTGGAGTGTTAAAGAATGACAAAAGTCTCACATTGGTGATTAATGAGATGGGTGGGCTCCTTAAAAGGCTTTGGCAATTCTCCTCCCTTTGAGCTAGCTTTTGGGGTGTGAGTTAGGCCTAAGACCTAGTTTAATAGTGATCATATTAGCTAAAGAATTAATACGTAGTTTATATAAATTTCTTTCCTTTTAAATGGAGCTTTTTATTTTGAAGAGTGTTAATAAAACCTAATGTTGCAATATACCTAAAAGAAATTCTTTTTTGGAAAGATTAACCTTTAAAAATATAGTATTTATCATAACTTCAATATTAAGATCTTTTCCTTTTATTCTTTTCCACATGATTTTTCTGGGAAGAGATTTAATTTATAAAATAAAAAACATCAAGAAATATATATCGACATTAATATTATTTGTGACCTTAGAAGTTGAGTGAATAAACATCTAAGACAGTGATGGCTCTATACATCTCAAATTTTCCAATTATCTAAATAATCATTAAATGATTGAATTTTCACATGTTCACAATTTTTTTAATGAGTGTATTGATCATACATTTGGAAAAAACAAATTAAAGTGAAAACAATTACTTGTTCATCTCTCATAATTATAGCTTATTAAAATTATTGTCAACAAAATAGTATATAGTCCTCGCTAAATCTCATAATTATAGCTTATTAAAATTATTGTCAACAAAATAGTATATAGTCCTCGCTAAATCCTATGATTGTCTACAAATAATTACAGAGTTCAACAATATATTTATTTATTTTTTAAATGAAGAGACTATGCACTTTTTTTTCAATATTTTTAGTTGGTCATCATAATTTTATGCCACTAAATATATAAAAACAAACAAATTACACACAAATCAAACAGCTCTAAATACATGTTCTTATCCAAAGCTGTTTATATCGAATTTTCTGGACATAAAAAATAAATGAACCACAAAAACACGTTAGAGATATACAATCTTTCACTTTGATCGCCATCCAACTTAGAACAATTTTTAAAAAAAGGAAAATTAACCTAAATAATAGTCACTCGTAAAATAAAATAGATGATAGATGCATAATATATTTAATTTTTGATTTATTTTTTTATATATTCATCCGTTTATTAGGTAGTAAAATTGAACAAATAAAACATTTCATCTCTTTTAATTACACTCATTAGTCTCAATAAGTCGTAAAACCCCATACATTTTCTACTTGAGGTTGATACGATTAATTAAAGGAAATAACACATTTTATATAATTAACTTAACTACCTTATACACGAATGAAAATACATTTTTTCAAAATATAAACTAAAAATATATAATTCAAAGACTTTATTGTATCTAAATAAAATATTTTGAAAGTTTAAATAGGCTGAATAGCAGTTTGAATCCAATCCCTAGTTTTTTTTTTTTTTTAAAAAAACAAGTGATTATGATAAAACAAAAGAAGGTAAAGAAAAAAACAAAATCTCACGTGGGAAAGCACACAATAAACAAAAGAGGAAAATTAGATGAGGAGGGAAAAACAGGTCATTACATAAATACAAATATACAAAATAGGAAAAGAGGCTAAAACAGTGCTTCCCTCGCATTTGACAAGTGCTCAAATAAAACGTGAAGTGGTTTTTTTTCCTTCTTCTCCTTCGCTCGGATTGTTGTAATCTCTTCTCTATAAATTGATCGGTACCGATTTATTAGGTTTTCACTTCTCTCATGGCAGCAGCAGCAACTACCGGCATTCATCAGAGAGCAAGGACGGCCGAATTAAGGATCGGAGCTCTTATTTCTGTCACTTCGATATCTGATATGCGCTATGAAGGATTTTTAGATGAAATTAACCCTCATAGCCTTGGTCTTCAATATGGTATACATTTTTCTCACTCTTTGCTATATCTGTATGTTTTTATAACGTTGCATTGGTTATTCTTAGTAGTTTATTTTGTGGTTTGATCGGGTTGATTTTGAGTTGTTTTAAATTTGTATAAAACTACTGAGAAATGCTCCTTCGCTCACTGAGTATCTGATGTACTCTTTTTTTTTTTGATGGATCGGGATGTTTTGATAGCTCTTCATTGGTTATATGTAAGGATTTTTGTGGTTTTGAATCATCAATTTGAGTTGTTTTTGTACAAAACCACACAAAAATAGTCATTTCCTCATTTTGATACTACTTTTTGTTCTTTTTTTTGTGGTATTTGTATGTTTTGATAACTCTTAATTGGTTATCTGGACTGATTCTTAGTGATTTCATGGTTTTGAAGCATCAATTTTGAGTTTTTTTTTTTGTACAAAACCCCTTTCCTCATTTTGATACTACGTTTTGTTCTTTTTTTGTTGTATTTGTATGTTTTGATAACTCTTCATTGGTTTTCTGGACTGATTCTTAGTGATTTCATGGTTTTGTGGTTCTATAGCATCGATTTTGAGTTGTTTTTGTATTAAACCACACAAAAATAGTTCTTTCCTCACTTTGATACTACTTTTTGTTCTTTTTTTGTTGTATCTGTATGTTTTGATAACTCTTCATTGGTTTTCTGCACTGATTCTTAGTGACTTCATGGTTTTGTGGTTCTATAGCATCGATTTTGAGTTTGTTTTTGTATTAAACCACACAAAAATAGTTCTTTCCTCACTTTGATACTACTTTTTGTTCTTTTTTTATGTTTTGACAACTCTTCCTTGGTTATCTGGACTAATTCTAAGTGATTTCATGGTTTTGTGGTTCTATAACATCGATTTTGAGTGTTTTTTTTTTGTACAAAACCGCACAGAAATAGTCATTCTCTCACTCTGATACTACTTTTGTTCTTTTTTTGTTGGATCAGTATGTTTTGATAACTCTTCATTCTTAAGTGATTTTGTGGTTCTTTGGCGTCGATTTTCAGTTCTTTTTATTCAAAACCACAGAAAAATAGTCCTTTCCTCACTTTGATATTAATTTTTGTTCCTTTTTTGTTTTGAATCTGTGTGTTTTGATAACTCTTCATCAGTTATCTGTATGGATTCTTAGTGGTTTCGTGGTACTATAAACTCATTGTGAATTGTTTTGTACAAAACCACACAGAAATAGTACTTCTCTTGTTGTTGTTTTTTTCCAGTTAATATGGCCATTGGGTGATTTTTGGAATTCTGTAGTGATTTTGGTATGTATGTGTGTTGTGAGAGTTTCCGGTGATCAACACTGACAAATTGGATCATCTAGTGACAGCTACCGATACAAATATCATCAGTTATCGTATTTGTTGGTGCTATTATTAAAGTTTTGTTGGGAGCATTGACAAAAAAGGCAAAAAGATGTAATTTATCCTAGAAGGAAGAATTAAAGATCAGTTGGTTTTGACAAAAAAGAAGAAAAATCAATCACTTGGTTTACAAGATGGGCGATGTATCTCCTCTAGGAAATAAAAATGGCAAAGAAAGTGTAGACAAGGAAAATATAGGGTACGTAATTGTAAGTAGCTTCACAAAAGAAAGAAAAAAAAGTAGTGAAAAGTAAAATAGAACTTTTCTTTCACACTACTTTGTTAGGGAAAGCATTAACCCTAACAACACCAAACAACTTGCTAGAGAGGCCACTTAAATTAGTTAAGAATCTTTACAAATTCAATGTTACCTTGGGAGTTCACCAAGGTAGCCTTAGTAGGGATATTTTCAATTATTTTAAAAATGGTTTTTAGTATTTTTTTTTTTTGTTTCTACTCGAGATAGGGGTATGGTCTGCGTACACTACCCTTTCCAAACACCATTTGTGGAATTTTACTTTGATGTTATTGTTGTTTGTAGTATTCTTTATTTAGCTCTAAACCCAAACTTCCATTCTCAATTAACGAAAGGATCAATGTTCAAAATTTACTTGTATTTCGTAATAGTTCCTCATACTTTGGATCTCAGCATTCATTATGGGATGGAGGGAATAACATTTACTATAATTATATTCCTAAATAAGCTCATCTTTCAGTAAGTGCATATTTTTAGATTAAGTTTCTGAAATTTTCAGTTGTTTTGAAGCTTATCGTCAATATTGAAATAGAATATGGTTACAAATGTAGGGAAAAGGCATAAATTCACCCTCGAACTTATCTCGAAAAGTCAGTTACACATTTAAATTAATATAATGACCTATTACACACTTCTACCACTAAATACTGAATGTTTTTATCGCCTAAGACGTGTAGCACCACTCTCACAATGGAAAGTGTATCACACTTGCACCACATCAATGCCATCACTACCACATTAGATGTCATGTCAAATTTTGGCTAAAATTCTCCATATTATTCAATTGTTTCTTCTTCAATGAACACCACCATGAAACCACTACCATTGCCGCCATATTACTACCAAATCTATATATTTCACCATGAAAATCAAAATAGTCACCATAAATTTCACCACCTGCGATCAAATCCACCATCGAAAGCATACTATCACCATTATCCCCACAATAATGTAAGATCCACAACAAAATTTGACACCCATAAACAAACTCATCACCATCAAAAGGTACAAACCCACCACCAAATATCACTACCACCATTGTCAATATCAAAATTTTCTTCTCCACAACCTTCAATTCCCGCTTCTTTGTCACCCCACGCCAACAAATCCATCATTATATTTTATTTTTTAAACTTAATCATCAATTTTATCAATCACCAACAAAGTCGAAGAGAAAAATCAAATATAATAAAAATGGTGAAATCGAATAAGCATTAAAATAGTATATGATTTGGGGTGGGGGAGAGGATTTTGATAGTGGAGGGGGGAGCGGGCTAGGGTGATAGTAAAAAGATTAGGGGGTAAAAAAGTTCATTTTTAAATAGTAAAGGTGTGTAATACGTTGTCAGGATAGTTTAAGCGTGTAACTGACTTTTCGAAACAAGTTCAAGGGTGAATTTATGCCTTTTCCCACAAATGTATAGTAACTTCTCCAATTACTAATTGGAAATAAAACACTTTTTTTCTGGAAAGAAATTAACAAATATTTTTGCTGCAAGCAACCAAATAAAGAAAGTGAATCTTTTATGTACTTGTCTCCATTTAGTTAAGTAATATGATGATTTCTAGTTCCTGGATTTTGTTTTTTGTTCATCTATTAATAATTTTAAATATATCTAGTGTAGCTGCTACTGACAGTAATTCAGTTATTTGTCCAGATTTATGTATTAGTAAGTATTGGAGGCGTAGAACACTCTTCTCATGTTGAATTGTCTTCATATGATCATGTACCCTTTTGATGCATAATTATATAATCTATATCTGGCTGCAGTGAAATTCTTTGGGTCGGAAGGACGCTTGAAATATGGCCCTCAGATTCCTGGACGGGACCGAATCTACGATTATATATACTTACGCGGAAGCAACATAAAGGTGAGTTTTTCAGTCATTTGATAAAATTTGTTAGTTTGTTCCTTCCTTGAAAATTCTGTTGTATTCCCTAAAACAAATTTGGTAATCTATGATCCCGACCCCAACTTTCTTGGGATGGGGCTAGTTGTTGTTGTACATCAATATGGTGTTAGTTACACGGCCAAAAGAGTTCAGTACAAGTCCTTTGATGTTGAAAGTGGAGAATATCCCATAATTCTGAAGCAGAACTGCGTTGCGGTATTGGAAGTTTGTGGCAGCCGGCCTGTGAGTGACATTGGATGGTGAACATCCTGCATTTATCATTTTGTTTAATCTGCATACAGTTTTGTTTCTTAAAAAGAAGACATGATAGAAAAGGTATCCTTTATATGAAATTAGTGCCTTGGAATGAGGAGAAAAAGATGGAGGTTTTTTTAATGAGGAAGAAATCCTTGCATTCTCTACCAGAGCTGGAAGGTTTTCTTAATGTTGAAACATCAACTGAATAAACAGTAGATCTCCATTTATAGACATTATAAAATACTCTTTCTTTCTTCCGAAAACATGATCTCGTACTGGATTTCTCTTTTTCCTTTAATTTGCCTTGAGTTGCCTCAGGATCTGCAGGTTATATCTTCTCCTTCACCTTCAACTACATCTGCTGTACCTGACGATCCTGCGATACTACGGGTATATTTTTCTTATACGGATTAGTTTTTCTGATTACACCCTGGATGCTTGTCTAACCTTCTGCATGAAAATCTTTTGCAGCCTCGTTTTGGTCACCCCACTCCTACAACTATTGCCTTAACATCTCATGGTGCTGCACAAGTAGCAAATGTTACTACCTGTGCACAGCCCATCCTCCCTGTTACATCATTCCAGTTGAATCAGCCCCGTCCCCGTGACCTATCAGCATCAAGTTCAAGCTTTGGGGGCTCATTTCTTCCTCCTCCACCTGCAAATATCAGTAGGCTTGCTGTGCCTAGTTATTGGCCAGGATTAGTTGGGTCCTCAGGAGGAGTTTCTTATTTTCAACACCAATTTCCTCCGCCTCCACCGAGTTTGATGGCATCACAGGCCCCAGTTCAACAGCAAGCGCAACACCAGAATGTCAATACCTCTGTAGTTGGTGGATCCCGTTATTATGAACACCATCATCCCTTGTTGCTGGGTCATAGTACTGGTTCCCCAACTACGCTTCCTTCCTTGCTATCTGGCCGACAAGTGACATTTTCTTTGCCAGAAGTAGAACAGTTAGGAGCGAGGCAGTCCTCTCCATCTCAGTCACTGCAGACCGCAAACATAGAAGAAAAGACTGCTATAGCACCGGTAATGGAGCCTCTTCCATCAAATAGCAGTGAAGAAACCTCGGAGTCACTGATGAAACCCACAACTGAAACTGTATGTCCACTCTTTGTCCCTCATCTACTAGTTTGTTCTTCCTCATGATATGATTTGGCCATTTATAGTAAACAATTAAGCTGATGTCACCCTTTTTTAAAATTATGTTTCGTGGGTAAACCTAATTTGGTCCTTGTCATTGATCAGTTAAACCATAAATATTGCTGAATGTTGATTAGCAAACAATCAAGTCTATTCTTCCTGCATGAAGTTACTTGTAAACTACATTAAAGATTTTAAAAAATGAAAGCTGCAAATACTAACCAAAATTGCTCTCAACCCCATGAAACTTAAGATGTAAGCATCTTCCACCCTGGCTTCCGTCATGCTTTAACACTTCACAAAAGCTAGACCATTAGGTTAATGTACATGGTAAGCCATAAGCTGACTCCTCCTTCTTTGGAGGTTCTGTTATGTGTTTGTGCTTCCTTCTAATTTTTTGGATCACATTGTCCCAAAACAACACTAGTCAATATTCTTCTACTTGTTTCTCATGTGCTCAACAATACCCTTTCTTTTTTTCCGTTCTTCTTCTACTTGCAGGGATCTACATCATCTCCTCATGATAAAAATCAGTCTGCTCGGGGAAGAGATCAGGTAATTATCTCTTCTGTTTGCGTTTTCATTTAAGCCTACATAGGTATTGATATGAGTCTTAGGGGATGTTTATTTATTATGCATTCATGTCCCTCATTCGCACAAAGGCCGTTCACTAGGACGGCCAAATGTGGTAACTCAACACACTTGTTTGACTTCTTTGAATTGCTAGTTTAAACTGGTATTTTGGCCTGTTTCTTGTATAGAGATATTGCCTCCATCTCTTGTTTCACTTTCCTTGGTGCCAAGCCAAAAATAAAGTTCAAGTATTTTCTGTACCTGTGGCCTCCTGTTTTATCCACATCTCTTAGTCCAAAATTTCATTTACGTCTCACATGTACACTCGCTATTTACCATTGGTTTTTTTTTGGGCTTCCCACTCGGTGTCCGGAACCTGCATTGGATCTCCGACTAAATCTGGATCCAAATAGACAATGTTTGGATACATATATATCTTGTTTTCCTCTAATTAACAACTACAAATTTGACCTCATTCCTCTCCCCCTAGTGGAGATCTCCTTTTCCTTTCAAATCCTTTGCACATAGGGAAATGTGAGTTTTGCTCTCTTAATTATTTTTTTAATTTTTTCCTTGTTGGTTTGTTAATAACTTTCCTGAAAATAACTTTTGTTTCCATGTTCAGAATGCCGGTGTCATAAGAAGATTTGAAGTGGACTTTGATTTCGAGAGAATGAACAAAAAGTTCAACAAGAAAGAAGTTTGGGACATCTTCAGCAACGGTGATGCCAGAGACGTACACCATAGGAAGGTAAGCAAGCTGGTGTAAATTTATAAGCTTTCTAATTAAGGTTTGCGATGCTCTGTGCATGTGGCGTTTCTAATTCTGGCTGGTTATTTATTGACTTCTCTCTGTTCTGCAGCCTGTTTACCATAAGGACGAGTTCTTTGACTGTCTTTCTTATGGTCTACCAGAGCATGAATCCAGAGTGATGCTCTCTGAACAAATGAGAATAGACAACGAGGTAATGTTGTCCGATATTGTCATTATAAACACTCATCATTTTTTCATTCTATTAAGAGACCTGTTTATGTGTTGCCAGACCTTTGGAGTAGAGATCCCAATAGTCCATCTGGATCATGAGAATGGACCACACTCGTCTAGGACATCTCAAGCCTCACTGGGTGGCAGAGGACATGGCAATGTGCGTGGTCCTGTAAAACAGGTGTGGAGGCGTGTCTCAAAATGAGAATTCATGTTCAATTTAATCTTATGGTCGAAAACTATTCAAAGCTGTAAGGCTTGGTAATTATACTAGTGGTAAATGATCAGCTGATACCATCACTTCCTGAGGAAGAGATAGACATCTTTGCTTTTGCTCTAACTTCTTTTACAAACTTTCTTGACATTCTTGGATGGATGCTTTTGTTAATGGATTATGAGCTGGGTGCAACAAGCAGTAAAATTCGGCGATTTCATGCTATAAGGTTTGAAAAGTAAATGCTGATAATTGAGCTCGACTATAATGGTAATTTGCAAGTGTTGTTGCAAGGTTTAAATCCGAGCTTGCATTTACTGCATACCGTTACTTGTTAAACTTAGTAATATTACTCTTTATATTCTACCTTCATAAAATAGAGGTAAGTTTACGTAAAACTAATGGTATATTATAGTTTTACATATAATATTTCATGCAGACAAACTTTTAGAGAGTGTTTAGATCTCTCTTTGACATGTTCTCCAACTTGGCAACTTAGAGCCTGATAGCAGGGAATTTGCCTAATTTCCATTAAGACTACAAAAAGAAGTTTATAACTTTATATACTATATTAATTAATTAAATCCTTGTTCTTTTGTTATCTTCCTGGTGGATAAAGAATATAGATGAAATTAAAGCATTATTCTTTTGATATCATTATTCTGGTGTGTGAATTTACACAAATAGCACTCTTTTTTTCTCTAGCTAGCATATATACAAAAAATTAATGAATTATACTAATAAAGAATATATAGAAGAGACAAATCAGACAACGTACATAGCGTTTGATTAATAAAGTGTTGTCGTCTGAATAAGCTAATTATTAAAACAAACAACATTTACTAACAAACCGCTTCTTGTTGCATGCCTTTGTACTTTAGGATCTCGAGGCTGTTTTTCCTCAGAAAAAAATTCAATAAACTTTTCCAAAAAGAAAAATAAAAAGAAGAAAAGTTTCAAATGCCATTGAGAATCATTTGTAAAGATAGTACGGTCTCCGTTCCCTTTTATTCATTCATTTTAAATTTGATACATCTTTTAAAAATAATAACAATTAATATGAATATTTTATCATATTACCATATTAATTAATGTATATGGTTTTACTATCTTAGGTTTTAGACGTACAATTTGAGAAAAAAGTAATTATATTTGATATAATATTAAAAATAAAAAAATTACTTTAAAATGTGAAGAAGTAAAAGTGAAGAGAGGATGTTTTACTGCTCTTAATTTAAAAGGTATAATCTAAGATCAGTTACAAAAGACCCTTTTTTGACTCATATCGCTTTCACCAGTCACTTCCTCCTCAGAGTGAGTGTTCACATTATTGAATAATATATCACTTCCCGTATTTTTTCTTTTATACTGATTTGAACTATTTTATTTGAATTGAGGCTTCATATTTTTAAAAAAAATATTACTACTTTCTATGAGATATTAGTCAGGTTTGCTTATATTTTACTCCCTTATATATAAATTACATCGAATATAATATTGTTATTAACTACGGTTGTATGCATTTTGTATGTTAGAATGATTCAAAGTTTTAGTAAAAAATTAAATTGTTTAGGATTTGATATTTAGTTTCTTTAATTGATTTAATTTATGTCTTATTAGAATTTGTAATCTAATTAACATAGAAATAAGTTTTCTTATTTTAAAATAATGTTGAACCTAGAACAAACTTAGGAAGAAAAAGATGATGAAAAGAGGACAAAGGAGTAAGAACCAAAAACAGATAACCACAATTTTCTGAGCATGTTTCTCGTCACTTCACTTGTTTTTTTTTATATAAAAGAAATAGTAATATAATATAAGTATTGTTTAATATATTAAGAAAAATAATTATTGTTTAAAATTTTATTTTAAAAGAAGCGTGCAAAATCTAAAATACTGGTATTATTGTGAAATGAAAACAAAAGTTGCATGATTAATGTTGAACACTGTTGAACGGTTGAGCATCTTAAAAGTCATTTGCTCATGAAATCTACATGAGTAAATGTTTTTTGTTCACATTAAATCCTATGTTGTATCCCACTCTAACAAATTAAATCTCTCATAATCACACACATATAAACATAAATTTGGGTACAAAAAAGAGTTTTTTGGTACACAAATATGACTAAATCAAAGCCTTTTAAATTCCAGTGTACCATAAAAATACTTTATGCGTTAATATTTTACATATTAGTCCAATTTTTAGATGTCTTAAATTAAAGGGGCAACTCAGTACACTAAAACTTTCGCTATGCACACAGTAGTGGAGCCAAAAATTTTAATAAGGGGTTCAAAATCTATAGAAATAGACACAAAAATAGTCGAAGGGGTTCGACATCTACTATATATACATAAAAAATTATTTTAACCATATATAATTAATGTAATTTTCCGCCAAAGGGGGTTCGGATTAGTACAAGGTGGCTCCGCCCCTGTATGCACAAGGTCCAGAGAAGGGTCTGATCACAACGACTTATTGTACACAACTTAAATTGTACTGAGTCAAAATCTATTGATTTAATAAATGAATGAGTTTGATATTTTCTATTTCATGGCTAATTGTGATTTTATTTTTGTTTTAATTTAATATATTTTATATAGCTACGAATGAAAAGAAAAAGGGGTTTATTAAGTATTAAAAAAATAGTAAGAAAATAATTAGAACTTATTAATTATGATATATTATTTAGCTCAAATTCAATCCTAGTCGTTCATTTGACTACGCTCCACTTCTAGTCTTTGCGCGGTCCAATTTGGCGTACAAGCACAGCCTGCAGTTTCCAGGCCCTATATAATTCGACTATATTATTACTTTCAATAAATATAATTAAAAAAAAAAACATAAGCAGACAGAGTCTTATGTTTATGTTTTGTTTGTTACTATACATCAAAAAAGAGAAAAACTAGAGCTCTGAACAAAGTTTTTTTTTTAACTTCTTTCCATATGGATGTGAGGAAAATAGTGATAATAGTAGAAGATGTACAAGTATCAAGAACAGCTCTACAATGGGCTCTTCATAATCTCTTACGATATGGAGATTTAGTAACACTTCTTCACGTTTTCCCAAATTTGAGATCCAGAACCAGCAACAAACTTAGGCTTCTTCGCCTTAAAGGTTTTCAATTAGCTCTCTCTTTTCAAGACCTTTGCAACAATTTTCCCAACGTAGGTTACTCTGTTTTTTTTACCATGATGTTCTGTTTTAGAAATTTGTAATGTTACTGATACATATATGATAACAGAGATAGGTGATTGATCTGTTACAGACCAAGACAGAGATTGTGGTCACTGAAGGAGATCAAGATGGTGGCAAAATTGCTGAAATGGTTAGACAAATTGGAGCTTCAACTCTTGTTGTTGGACTTCATGATCATAGCTTCATCTACAAGTAAGTTGGTATCTACTACCTCCTACCAGCACAAATATCGCGCACTATCAAAACTTGGATAAATAGAAAGAAATCACCTAATATTTTTACTTTTGATGAATTTTTGATTAATTAATCACTAGGTCACATCTTCGAGCGTGAAGATCTTTGATTATGAGTAGTACATCTCTTTAATAAGAAAAATCGTTTAATACTATGGAGTTTAGTCTTTAGGGACAAATTGATTAAATGATAAGTGAATTAATTTATTCCATTGTAGATAGGAAATGGATAGGAAGTTGCTAGCAATAAAGCCATTCAAGGCCTACAGCCATGGTTGGTCAACTCTCCTCTGTACAGCCACTTTTAGTATTAATGGTGAAACCACATTTTATCCGAAATCTTTTTATGCTTGAAATTTCTGATTAAGGATAAATAGACGATGATTCAATTTATCTCTTAAACTAGATTTTATATTAGGGAGTACTTTAATAGTTTAAGTTAGTTCTTATTTGATTTAAAATATTTAGAGTAGGATAAGGATTTGTGAATTATTAATTGAGTTTGTTGGAACTCCTAAATTTGTTTTTGTTTACGATTTGTGCTAGCTAGACTGGCCAATCTTTTCTGCTCTGCCACGTTTCAGTCACTGCCCATTGGCCGGCAGGTTTCATGCAATTGTGTGTCCTCATTATTTGTAACTGCTAAATTTTTTATTCATGCCAATCAGATGATCCTCAAAATATCATATCCTCAAGAATTGTTTTGACATCACAATCGTGTGTGATCATCTCATTCAAATATTTAAATTATTGGAGAGCGCATATTCTGTTTCAATATGCTATCTGTCACTTTCGATTAGTCAAATATGTATCTGTTACATGTTAAAAGCTATGACCATCTCATCTATAGATTTAAATTTTCTTGAATATGTTTTATCATAGTGGAACTAAACTAGTTGTAATATTTATAATTGATTTGTTACTAGGATGGCCATGGCCCATAACAGTATAGCTAGCAATTTGAATTGCAAAGTAGTGGCTATCAAGCAACCAACACCTTTGACCACCACCACAACAAGGAAAAGGACTATTTCCTTACCTAACAGTTCAACCAACATGGACTTGTCACAGATTGAAATAGCAGCACTGAGGTAAGAATATTTATGCCTAATTTCATGCATTTGGATCCAAGTCTGTTATTACCTGCTCCATATAATATATTCTGTGGTCCTGACTCTAGAACAAGGGTTCTTCAAGAATAAATCAATATTGAACCTTCCTTATCACCACCCCTAGAGATTCTGAGTTCGAGTCCTGAAAATATAATTGTCTTTGGTTAGAAACGCATTACCCTCAAAGTAAAACTTTCTGACACGAATTTAAATTAGTTGAGTCCTAAAACGAGTATTCGAATGATATAAAATATTGAACCTTCCTTATATTAACAATTAGCTTAAAGTGATCAAATGAATTGGATATTTTATTAAATGAAAGACACTACATTAATAGTTGTGTTGTGATGTGATGAGGAACAAATAAGGCAATATGGTATAGCTGTAAACAATAGAATTTAAGGATAGGGTCTTCATTACAAACAAAGAGGTACAAGAAATAAATGAGTTTGTCTGCTTGCCAACTTGACATCACACCAACGAGGGTTGTGGTGCAGTGGTAAGTACTTCTTCATCCTTAATCAGAGATATCGGGTTGAGTTTCCCTGAATACGGAGTCGCCTTTGTCAAGAAGCTCTTTAACCCAATGTAGGACTTTCCAACGCGAATCCAAATTTAGTTGGAAGTAAGTACTGGACACCGAATTGGAAAAAAAAAAGGGAAAAACTACATAAATGAGCCATAAAATCCAAAATAATTACAAGTTCATACTCAAATCCAAAGTAATTCCTGAAGTACACATTCTCTCATAAATAATTATAGTCTATACCCCCTTTCATTAAGGGTGATAAATTTCGCTTAAGTGATACTAAAACGGTATCATATACAATATTGGTATCATTAAGGTTGATAATTTCGCTTAACTGATACTAAATGAGTGTATATATATATATATATATATATATATTGTATTGGTATCATTAAGGTTTCTTGTTCAGAAATTACTTATTAGTCAATGATACTATAAGAGTATATATGTATATTGTTGTGGTATCATTAAGGTTTCTTGTTCAGAAATTACTTGTTAGTCAATGATACTATAAGAGTATATATATATTTTATGGCATCATTAAGGTTTCTTGTTCAAAAATTACGCATTTGTCAATGATACTATAAAAGTATATATATACTCTTATAGTATCATTGATTAATGAGTAATTTCCTAACAACAAATCGTAATGATACCAATACAGTATATATATACTGATGTAGTATCAATTCAGCGAAATTATCAGCATTAATGATACCGATACAGTATATATGATAGTGATTTAGTATCAATTAAGCGAAATTAGTGAAGGAGGTATATATTGTAATTATTTAATGGGGTATGAAGGTAAAGAAGTATATGTTTGTAATTATTTTGCTTTTATGGGGTATTTGCTTATTTTTCCCCAAAAAAAAACTTAACATCACATCTTGGATGATAGTATATATTTGTTGACAGAGGTATTAATAGAAATTCTTATAAAGGGAATCAGAACAATTATAAACTTGTCACACATGAAATTTGTACTTCTGATAATTTAAAACAAATTTTGAACCAACCTTACCACTAATAATATAAAGAATGTTTTGTACGTATCCTTTTAAAAAATTGGAATTACTATTTTTCTTGCAAGTCTTAAATTGTGATCATGTACGATTTTAGTAATATTTGGTAGTTTATTTGGGTATAAATCATAAAAAAAATAAAAATTATTGATGATTTGATTTAATAATGTAATGTGTGCAGTGTCCCGGAAATTAATCCACCAAAAATTCCATATCAAGTTTGTCCAGACCCGAGTGCTATTATTTGGAGAAAGGGGAGATCCAGAAGCTGGACAAGAAGAGATTAAAAATCAAGAATTATGTATATCTGCTGTTATTAATTATTTGATGACAAAAGTGGTTTTTGAATTTGTTAGTTTGACTCAACAGGGCATAGAACAAAGACAGAAAAAAAAAAGGATTCACAAAATTTACAAGTTGGTTGGTAATTTGGCTAATGAATATTCATAATTATGTGATTCATTATGACGAAAACAAATATAGCTGTAATTTTCATTAATCTGTATGGTAATTTGTACTATTGGTATGCCCCGTCTGTCATAACTTGTGAACAAGACAAATGTTATCGTAGCGACAAAATTTGTGTATCGAAAATGTTTAGAGCCCAAAAGGCCCACGAGACCGTGAGTGACATGCCAATGAGTACTACAAATGACAATTTTTTCAGAACTTAATCTTTTCTATTTTTTGATAAATTATTGTGCTATTTTATTCGTTTAAATTTGATATACTTTAAATATCCTTATTTCTAAATCCACCAAAACAAATGGCATCAGTGAGCTGAGAAAAATAAAACAAAGCAATCGAAAACACGATTGTTTACTAAACCTTATAATTTAATGATATCGGATAATTCTTTCCCATAGTAGTTGATAATTAAAAATAAACATCATTTTTTAACAAGTTTTTAGTTTAACGATGTAAAATATTTTATTTGCACTTAATATAATTTCAAAAGTTAACTCAGAAAGAAAGGATTAAACAAATAATATTATTACTAGTTAAAGATAAATTTGATAAAGAAGACAAAATTGAGAAATGGTTTTTTTATTTTTCACACTCTAAAACATTCTATAATTCATAATTACTTTGCTAGTTTAATAGTAATTTTTTTTAAAACTAATTCTTTTTTATAATAATAATAATAATTAAAATAGAGTTTGGAGAAACAAATTAAATAAAAAAATTAGAACTAAAATAAATGAAAAATGGCGGCTAGAGAACTGAGTCCCGAGTTGATGCAACCAACTCAGTGAAAGTCTCCACAGCTTGAGCTGTCTACATGGCATCACTTCACACATTTTTTTTTATTTTTTCTCTACTCTTTAAAAAAATGGTTAGAAAAGTTTACACAAATCAGCTGTATAGCACACCATTGGACAATTTCTTGATATATTTAAATTTTAATGGAGAAAGTTATTTTATACTTCAAACTAGCTCGAACATTATTTTATTATAAATAAAATTAAGGTTAATAAAATTTATTTTGAATAAAAGAGATAATTATTGAAAACACTCTTAAACTTGGTGTGAAATATTAGTTTGTTCCCAAATTATTGACAACCTTGAAAATACTCATCTACTCGACTTACTAAACTTAGATACACCAACAATACACCCCGATGTGACACATGACGTTATAACAAGTGATTTCAAACTCTTATAGAAGCATGTGACTCTTAATAAAAAGTGTTGAAAACACCTCTAAACTTGATGAGAATTTAGGGTGTATTTCACTCAGGTTACAAGATTGAGAGTGTATTTAAGTCTAGTCAGTCAAGTAAATGAGTGTTTTAAAGCTTGTCAATAATTTGAGGATGAAACTAATAATTCGTGCCAAATGTAGGAACATTTTCAATAATTCTCTCAAAAAAAAAGAAAAAAGACTCACATCATAATAATAGTTTTATTTGAGAAGTTAAAATAACATTATTTATTAATAATGATTTATATAAATTAGAAATAAAAGTTATTTATATGTTTGATTCTAAACTAAAAGTGAAGTAATAATTTCTCATTACCATAAATTGTATGATAGGACAAACAAGATCTCATTTTCTTAATTAAATTAATTAGGACTAAATTGGAGTAGAAACAAAATAGAAAGGGTTAGTAATAATTTATAGAAAGTATAAAAAGAAAAAAAGAAAAAAAAGGTAGAAGGGTTTGGCGTGACGGCTCTACCAAAACTAAAGGCTGAAGCTTCGTCTCCACATAAATTCTGTATCAGTCGGATCTGAGATCGGCTTCCATCACTAATCTATCTGGCTCTCAGCTTCCCTTTCCCCTTCTCCACTTCAAACTTAATTCCTTCCCTCCATTTCTTCCTCTGCAACTCCTCCTTCACATTTTCTCTCTCTCTTTCTGTTTCTCTCACTACAATCTCTACTGAAACAATATTCAACACTGAGATAACAACTGGAATTTCAAATTTTCAACACTAATTTTGTATGTTTTGCTGTTGATTTTGTTCGCGATGGATTGGAATGTCAACACTGGTTATAAGACCTTAAAAGGTACTTTTTTCACTCTACTTAATTCATTGCATTCATCTTCTTTGATTTATTTTTTCTGTAACAGAAATGGAATCCAAATCCCTTGCCGTTGTGGAAGCTCCAAGTACAATCCTTAACGTAGAACCTATAGATATCGGGCCGGGATCTTCAGAGAAAGATCCTACAACAAAACTAAGGAAAAAGGCCCTCACATCAGTGTATCTCAAGTATTTTGAAACAGCACCGGATGGGAAAACTAGAAAATGTAAATTTTGTGGACAGAGTTATTCAATTGCAACAGCCACCGGTACGTTTAAACCTTTTTTCCCGATTAATGCTTAATTTTCATGTGAAATAGGTCATACATTAATGAATTGATAATCAAGTGCTTAAATTAATGGATATTATGCAGTATCTATAGACCTTGATGTTGTTCATTCGTTTTACTAGGCAATTTGGGAAAACATCTTAGCAATCGTCATCCAGGATATGATATAACAGTAAATGTTGCAAGTCCTGCACCACAATCTGTTACTGTTGTCAAGAAGCTTCAACCTAAACCTCATGTCAAAGGTCCTCAGTTGGAGCTCGATCATTTGAACTGGTTGCTTGTCAAGTGGTTTATTCTCGCGTCTCTTCCTCCTTCGACTTTGGATGAGCCTTGGCTTTTGAATTCATTTAAATTTCTTAATCCAACAGTAAAACTTTGGCCTGAAGACAAGTTCCAATCAGTGCTTTGCGAAGTTTTTAGAAGTATGCAAGAAGATGTAAGGGTGATAGTAGACCAAATTTCTTGCAAAGTCTCTATAACTCTTGATTTCTGGACATCTTACGAGCAACTACTTTATATGAGTGTGACATGCCAGTGGATTGATGAAAATTGGTCCTTCCAAAAGTTGCTCCTTGATATTTGTCACATATCCTCTCCTTGTGGGGCTGCTGAAGTTTCTCATGCTTTGTTGAAGGTTCTTAAGATTTATAATATTGAGAATAGAGTCCTCTGTTGCACACATGATAATACTCCGATTGCACTGCACGCGTGCCATACTCTCAAAGAAGATATGGATAGCCAGAAAATGAGTCATTTCTACTATCTCCCATGTGCTGCTCATACTTTGAATTCAGTCATAAATGATGGACTGAGTTCAACAAAGTCGATAATTTCTAAAATAAGAGAATTTGTTCTAAAGATGAACACATCCTTTGAGATCTCTCAGGATTTTCTCCAATGCTGCAATGCTTATCAAGAAGGAACTTGGAAATTCCCTCTTGATGCCTCACCTCGTTGGAGTGGCAATTACCAGATGCTTGACATTGCACGAAAGGTATCTTTCTTTCCCGATATGTTTATAAATATCACGCTGCTAGCTTCTCATAAAAATATTTAAGAACAAGGCAAACACACATATCTGACTTGTATAAGTTTACTGTGATGTTGGATCAGTACAGTTCAAAGCTCACTCTGATTGTCTTAAACTGTCATATTTTTGGAGTGAAGTTCTTCAATCTTTATAATACGTGTATAATTAGTTTGGGTTTGATTGTGTTGAATGTATTATTATAATGAATTTTATACTCTTCTCTGATCTCATGACTATACTTGATTAACAATCTCTAATCTATGCTTAGCAACAGTTGGTTTATACATGTTCAGCTTGAAATGGGAAGTTGATAAGTATGTCTTTTTAGAGATAAAACTTTGATTAGTGTCAATGACCCTCCACTTTCAGCCACTGTTGAGCTTCTGAATAGCGGAATTGGGGCACAAGGTTTACCATATTAAAAAAGAGAATCTTTGATAATTATCGAAGTAAAAAGTTCAAAATATTTGCACTCAAAATGCTTAGACTCTACTAGATTGGACAAAGGAAACATAGATACGCCAACATTATTGAGTTATGAGTTGTTGTTTCTTGCTACTTATAGATGGAAGTGGACAACATCATAAGGAGGAAACACAAGAATGGATTTTTAAAAAATGGTTTTGCTTTACATTTAATCTACAAATGATTGATGAATTTAATTATATATTTTTTTTAAATTTAGGCAGGTAAATCATTGGAAACTATCATCCGGAAGTATGATGAACTACTAGGCAGTAGGGTGCTCCTCAACAACGCGGAGAAGAATGCTGTGAATAGCATGCATGCATTTTTAGAACCTTTCTATAAAACCATCAATGACATATGTACAAACAAAGTACTAACAATTGGTTTGGTTCTTTTTTTCATGGATCATATTTCTGAAACAATTGCAGCCTGTAGAGACTCTCGACACAGCCCTGACTGGCTGAAAAGTGCTGCTGATGAAATGGCTACGAAAGCTCGAAGCTACAATGACCAGATGTGCAACTCCTTCACATATATGACTGCTATTCTTGATCCAAGAATAAAAGTCGAGCTCATTCCTGAAAGTCTCAATTCGGAGAATCACTTGGAGGAAGCCAGAAGCCATTTTATAAGAAACTATTCCACCAGTCATTTTCCTTCTATCTCTGGGTCTTATGCTGCACATGAGCTCGAAGATGGAGGAAGTGTTTCTTTTGCAGAGGAAATTGCTCGTAAGAAACGCAAGGCAAGCATGTCCTCCGCCACAGATGAGCTCACCCAATATTTATCAGAACCTCCTGCTCCTATACAAACAGATGTCTTGGAATGGTGGAAGGTAAACAATGCACGTTACCCACGGTTATCATCCATGGCTCGAGACTTTTTGGCTGCACAACCAACTGCTTTGGCGCCTGAAGACCTTTTCTGCAGCAAAGGTGATGAGATAGATAAGCAAAGGTTCTTAACGCCCTATGAGAGCACTCAAGCTTTGCATTGTGTAAAGTCATGGATGCAAAGTGGATTTAAGTTGAAGTATAAATCAACTGAAATTGATTATGAGAGGTTAATGGAACTAGCAGCTGAAAGTTCAATGGCAGGTTCCGACAAGAAACAAAAATCATGATAGAATTTTTATTGATGAAACTGAAGGTCCATGTTTTGTTGTATGTATTATATTTATGTAGATGCATCATATGTTTACTGCTTAGTGTACAGGTTTTGATAGAGAAAAGTAGACAATGAATTTATTTTCTTAAGAAATATAGAGCTTGTGTCTTAACAAGGCTTTTTTTTCTTCTTTAAGTCCCGGTAACATAAAAAAAAATAAAAAAGTATACTAATTGGTTGAATCATGATGCATAAAAATCTTGCTTGTTATAATCCTATTGTTCTAGAATGCCAAAAAGGACAAGGAGTGAAAATGTTACTGAAACAGAGGTGCTGAGAAGCTATATATGATACTCCCTTTTTCTTTTTTCATCCTTCCGTATAAAGTCTCAAACTTAAATTACTGGACCATCAAAAGAATGTTATATATGATATTCCCCTTTGATTTAATTTATAGTTTGATTTTTCGATCCATCCTACCTTTTCTTTTTTACTCAGGGTCGTAAACTCTACAAGGAATCGACCAAAATTTTAAACATATTATTATTGTAGAATCAACCATATGGTAAAAGGTTAGTAAAATATGAACCATTAGTATTCCAAATGTAAATCAGCCAAGTAGAAAAGGTCCAATTCTGCCAAAGCACATCTAGGAGCATAACTCCCACGTGTTTCTCTTGCATGCACTCCACCTCCTCACACGTGTCACATCACCCCATCCTTTTCTCCCTGTACTCTCCTCTATTTCACTCTCACTCTCTCTTCCCCAACATTCATACACTCTTTTCTTTCTCTGCAACAAAAATGGCCGATCAACAACCCAACTACGGCCGTCAACAAAGGCCACCAACTCGTTCCTCCGGCTTCAACAGCAACATGACTACCCCTTCATTCCTCCGCAAATTGCAAGAACACGTCCCTAATTCCACCCAACTCGTCGGATTTCTAACCCTAATTATCTCCGGCGGAATCTTACTCCTTCTCACCGGACTCACACTTACCGCAATTATTTTAGGTTTAATCTTCTTCACTCCTTTGGTTCTAATCTCAAGCCCAATTTGGGTCCCTGTGGGTACTGTTCTGTTTATTGCCATTGCCGGATTTTTATCTGTTTGTGGATTTGGGGTTGCCACGCTGGCGTCTCTCTCTTGGTTATATAGATACATTAGGGGATTACACCCGCCCGGTTCGGACCGGGTTGATTACGCCAGAAGCCGAATTGCTGATACGGCTAGCCATGTGAAGGATTACGCTAGGGAATACGGCGGGTACCTTCATAATAAAGTGAAGGATGCAGCTCCTGGTGCTTGAGCTCAATCGAGCCGTTTCTATAAGTTTTGTTTGAACCGGGTTAATTTCCTCTTGAGTTTTTTTTTTTTTTTTTGAATTATATAAATATAAAATCGGACTGTTGTAGTGTTCTGATTTACATAGAATGTAGTGATGTTTAGTTGAGGATTTTAATTTCTTTTATATGGAATTTAATTGGGCCCTCAATAGGCATAACAAGAGGATAAAAATGATGATAATGTTGTAACCGGGCCGAAAGGGCACCATCATGTTTTTTTTTTTTGCTCAATTATTTGTTGCACTCAATAATGTGCTCAAGCTCATCAACAATGTCACAATTTTCATATATTACACGTATACACTCTAGTCCTTTTTCTTGCCACAAATTTTCATATAATATAAAATATAGATGAAGGAGATAGTGACGCGTGGCGGATACAAAATTTATGAGATAAGAGGACTAGCAATAATTTCCACCTAATTCAAGTGTCTTTTTTCACGTTTGAGCTATGGATACGAAATGACATACCAATCACTAAAATGTTTGGGCAAAAAAAAAGAAAAAATAGATCTCATTCTTTGGAATATGTAGAAATTATCAATATAGCTTAATAGTAAGTTAGGACTTGGAAGACAAAATAATTTACGAGACATTAATTGACTTTGACCTTCCATTTTTCTTCTTTTAAGAAAAAAAAACAAGGAAGATGAAAAAAATGCAATTGGACCAAGTCATATGACTCATGCCTAGCCTATTGGTACTTTGTGTAAGCCTGACTAGAGAGATTGATCTCATGTCATTTTTTTTAAAAAATAAAAAAATCGTATCCTATATCTTCAATTAAGAATGAAAAAGTTTTTATCATTTCATCATCTTCAATTAAGAATGATGAAAAATTATTTATCATTTCATCATCTTCAATTAAGGATGAAAAAGTATTTATCATTTCAGAAATGAAATTGGATATTGAGTGGTTCAAATTGTATGTGAGTCTAGTGTTCCCCGTAGACCATAATTATGATGCAAAGCTTTGTCCAACTAGGAATTAAAGAAAAAAAAGAATTTAAAACAAAAGTTGAATTCTTCAATTCCAACTACAATTTAATCATACACTGAAATTGGCATGAGAAAGTGTCACTTTCTTATTATCTTATTTCATACTAGCCCATTTCTATTATACAATACAAGAAGTTAATTAAGTTGACCAGGTCACTAACTTAATCACAATTATTCGTTAAACAAAAGAATTAGGAGATGACTGAGTTCATGCCCGCGTACTACTATTGCGGCTGATTGCTTTAAAAAACCCTTTAATTCTGTGAAAACATCTTAATCAAGAGAAATTAAATTTTTTGACATTGTCTCTTTGATTTTTATATAGTTAATTTATATTAATTATTGCAATTGATAATGTATTGGTGGGTTTTGAAAGGGAATCAAAACCTTTGATGATGCTCGTATCTGCCCTGAAATATTTTCAACGATTTAATCACCAAGTATCGACGTTTAAAGCCTTTAACTTTAATATAATATTAGTATTAATATAAAATTTTGGAGGCATGATATTATGGCCTTTTGATCTGGAACAAGTTCTACTATTGAAAACTATAGCTTATTTGATTTGAATAAAATAGTGTTCGTGTTCGTAGATAAACAAAGCTATTGCTTTGTCTATATTTCTTTTAGGTATCGAAATCGTTAAATAGTTGGAAAAAAGGAAGATGTTGAGTGGTGAGTCTCTTTTTTGGCCAAAAACATCCTTTATGTACATCCTTCAACTATCAGATTGAACAAAAATCATCCTTAATGTATTCAAAACTTAGCAAGTTTCATCCTTCCCTGAAACTTTTGTTAAAAACATTAACAGACTCAATTCCATGTGCAAGTCACATGACTATAAGCATCCTAAAGTGAGTCCAGTAGTTGTATAATGTTCTTCTTCTCAAAGTTGAAGCTTTTTTGAGTTAATTTTTTACCGATAAAGCTTGCCAGGAATGAATTTAGGATTCTCCAGCTTAATAAAAATCGTAATATAAGTTGATTTGTACAATGAAGCTCAATATTGGATATTTTGCTGCTATCATGATTTATTTTCCATAATTATTTGTGGTAACTTTCTTACGGATGTAATTCAAAGACCTTTCATTTATTTGTTGTGCTTGCATTTTTTTATTTTTTAAAGTATTTTCTTCGACATGAATATGCTCTTATTGTTCTCTCTCTCCATTTTCACAAGACCCAATAATTTTTTCTTAAATTGTTGTTAAAGATTTTTATTACCAGAACATCAACAAATTTCATTGCACCCTATTTTAAATTAGTTTCAAGCCTTTCTTCCTTCCCATAATCAATACCCAAATCAAATATAATCACAGTCCAACCATTACACAGAAGAAGACTCGTCCTAGCTTTGTTGTTTTTTTCCTTTCTTTTATTGTTCATATAGACTCAGCAAAATTGACGCATACAAAAGCTAACTTGGAATAACTTTAATTTTTTTTAGCAGAACAAAGAAATTGAATTGTGGCTGGTTTGAGGAACTTGATATTTGGGGTGTTAAGAGTCATGTGACTTGCACGTAGATGGGTATGTTAACGTTTTTTCACAAAGGATGAAACTTGCTAAGTTTTGAATACATTAAGGATGATTTTTGTTCAATAAATTAGTTGAAGGATGTACATTAAGTTTTAGGTATAGTTAACGGATGTTTTTGGCCAAAACTCTTGAGTGGTATATATAATTTTAACTTATATTATCGTAACTTGGGATCGATCTCCCCTCAATGTTTTCTAAGTTGAATTTATCGCATAGAATTTGCTTAGTGCGATTTACATACCTTAGGTTGTTTAAAGGCTATGTGGTTTGCAGGCTGTAACTATCCGGTGCGCTTACACAGTGGGGGTTAAAACCGGGATGAACAAGAATTTGCAAATTGATAGCAACTTGGATTAACATCCCACTGAAGCATATAATAGCCCAAATTCAGTTTATTCCACCAAATTCAAAACCTTTTTATACAGTATTTTCACCAGATTAATAGAAAATTAGGACAGCTAATTCACATATCCGCCATCTCTTTTGTAATTAACCCAAACCAAACAAACATAATAACCACAATTAAAAAAAGTATAAGCTGTAAACAGAGAGAAAACTGACCAACAAAAACTACATGCCTAAAAACAGAGCATCAACTAACTGATACTTTCTCTCTCTAATTCACTTTGGGTGAAGCGTAATTAAGATAACTCGGCATCGGACTCGCCCTCGGCGATCTCATCGGAACCTCCTGCAATCGATTCCCTTCGCTATCGTAATAAATCACGCCGGAGAAATCCAACGGCTGACATTTATCTCCCATCAAAATCCCCCTCTGCCAAAGCCCTCCATCGCCGAAATCCTCATCAGCAAGCTCTCCTTCTGCCTTCTTCTTATGCCTCAGATTAATCGCTTTGTTACTAATCGTCTCGAGGAACTTCTTCGGCCTCGCTAGCGGCGATTTGGGCGAATCGCTCCCGAGTTTTTGAGTTTTAATTCCTCGGCTTGCTTTCTTCAACCACAAAGCTAACAAAGACATCGAACCGATGAAATTCACCATAAGCCGCTTTGATGAGCCGGCTATCGCCGTTGCAGCTCGGGCCGGAGTTCGTGGTGGTGTTAGGAGAACCATTTTGTTTTCTTTTTTCTCTGTTATTTTTTGGTTTTCGAGCAACTGGTGAAAGAGGTTGAAATGAATGTGAGGGGTATTTATAACAAAGGGAGAGCAAAGGTGGGTAACCGAAAATAGCCGGTAATAAGAAATTTGACTTTGGGATTATGATTGATTTTGATTTTAATTTATTTTTGGAAATTTCTTAATTGTGTGCACAAGTGGGTTTCCTTTGAATATAAAAGTCGTAGATGGAGTAATTTATATGAAATATTTTTAATTTTTTCTCTCATAATTTAAATTTGGCGCTTTCATAATTATTGAGGAGGTGAATAATTAGTATTCTAATAAAAACAATTAAAATAGAAGATTTTAATTTAGCATTTAGGAAGGTTATTTATTGATTTTCCTATTTATGAGTAATGTTTTTTAAGTATTTGTGTCAGTCAAACTAAGATATTTGTAAATTTGGACTGGGGGAGTATTAGATTTAATTATAATCTTGTTAAGGACACTAATTTAACAAGATGATTTAGGTAATAGTATATTTCCGTTTTAAAACATTAAGAAAAATGCAATGACTTGGGTGTGTTTGGTACGACGAATTACATTTTCTGAAAAATGTTTTTCAACGGAAATTCCAATTTTCTCATGTTTGGCTTAAATGTTTTTCAAATCAACTTATTTTTCTCAAATCTAAGGAAAATGATTTTTCTAAAACACTACTTCATAATCTCTCTTTGATCTTGTAATTAAAATTATGCTTTCACTTAAGTTTAATATTCAACTCGAAATATTAATTACTTAAAATTTGGAAGGAATACGTCTTGTGAATTACTCATTGGAGGAAATTAAAGCTAGCTAATAAATAAAATTTCTATTACTTTATGAAATTAAAGAACTACCTGGTACTATTAATTATTTCTGGAGAGTACTTATCAATAAATATCATTTTAGTAGTGAATATCCATTGGACCACTTTTCTTTTTTATTTTTTGTTCTCCTCTAGTCCCAAAATACTTTTCGTGTTTTATTTCTTGAGAGTCAATTTATATAAATTTTGATTAATATTCTATTATATTTTTTTATCGTACTGATATGAAAAAAAAACTTCTATTTATAATATTTTTTTATATAGTTTTGAATTATTAAAATTTAGAAAAAAAAACAAAACGTGTATTTTGGACAAATGAGTAAATTTATAATGTGTGTGAAATGTGGAATATATTCAAAGAGGCTCAAAAGACGTTTGAATAAAAGGCAAGTTTTGGTGTTAGTTGAGTCAACTCCAAAATGAGTTACTAATGAATAATGAATGAAGTCTTCTAAATGAGTATTTCTTAATCAACATCGCAACTTTGTAATTTGGGGTTCCAAAGTAGTTTGGTCCCACCA